CAGATTGCCTCCCATCGACCGGTACGCTCCCACAGAGCGGGCCTCCTCAGGGTGCCGTCGGCCAAACAGTGTCGGCTGGCGACCCCCAGGGGGAGGGCCTTCTCTGTGGGAGCCCCCACCCTGTGGAACGAACTCCCCCCAGAGATCCGGATTATTCCGGATCTCCCCTCCTTCCGCCGTGCCCTCAAGACATGGCTTTCCATCAAGCGGGATTGGCCTAGGGGGGGAATTTTATAGGGATTTTAAAGGGATTTTATAATTTTAAATCTAATACAGGTCATTTAATATATATTTTAATTTGGTTTTTAGATATTTATTGTATTGTACTGTTTTTATTTACCTGTAAGCCGCCCTGAGTCCCTCGGGAGAAGGGCGGGGTATAAATGGGAACAAATAAAATAAATAACAAATAAATAAATAATTAAGTGGCCTGCCAAACAGGGCTCAGCTCTGGGGGTATCGCTACACGGAATGGGACAACTCGCCGCGGCCAGGACAATTTTAACAACTCAATTATTTAACTCAAACAATTATTTTAATTTTTGTCATTCACCTTTCATCCTGTTTCTCCTTTCGCATCCGTTCTTTTAACGATTCTATTCCACCATTTCTTTGATATTAGTTTTAACTCTTGTCCTGCAGTAAGCTGTCCTATGGTAGCTGGCCATGGCAAGCTGGCCATAATTGTCATAGATCTGTTCTACAAACCTCCGGATGTAGGCTGCTACTTGGAGCTCAAATGAACCCTCCATTTTCCCCCCCACAAGGGTTCTTAACGTGATTAGCTAGATCAGAGGTGCCCAATTTTGGCAAGTTTTAAGACTTGTAGGCTTCAACTCCCAGAATTCCCCAGCCAGCCATATTGGGAGTTGAAGTCCACAAGTCTTAAAAACTTCCCAAGATTAGACAGAGCTGATCTAAATGCATGATTTACAGTAATTAGGAGCCGGATCCCATCCAGCACAAATTCAGATGGTTTTCCCATTCCATGAACTAAAGCAGAACCAGCCAGTTAGGAATAACCAACCACCAAGAAGATTTTTCCATCTTTGCTATTATCTTATGAAATGCACTAGTGCAGGGATAGTCAGCCTTGGCTCTTTTATGACTCGTGGACTTCAACTCCCAGAATTCCTGAGCCAGCTGGCTCAGGAATTCTGGGAGTTGAAGTCCACGAGTCATAAAAGAGCCAAGGCTGACTACCTCTGCACTAGTGGATAGGGGTCTTTTCTCACTTGTAGATTAAGGAAATGCTTTTGAGAGAGAGAGAGAGAGAGAGAAGGAGGGAGGGAAGGAGAGAGGGAGGGAGGGGAGGAGAGAGTTGGGGTCTAGTGGTTAGATTGCTGTGAAAAAAATAGGAGGAGGAAGGAGTATTGGGTATTTATTTTATTTATTTTTATCCCTTGCATTCAATTCACCCTAAGCTTGTGTGAGTTTTGCCTTTTGGTGCAAGTGTCCATTAGCTCTTCTTTGGTGTTTATTCTTCCTGTACGGGTTTTTTTTAATCTTAATTCACTCTCCACCAGGCCCACTTTCTGGAGGTAGCTGGACAAGGAGTGTGCTTGCAGTCATTCAGTTCTGAAAGTAGCCCCTTTCCCAAACTGGCCGGCGAGCTCCAGCCTGTCACTTCAATAGCAGTCTACTTTGTTCTCCTCTGTATTCCTGGCAGCAGACAGGATGTCCTGCAGGAGAGACTCTGGGCTCCTCTCCAGATAATCGCTGCTCACATCCAGAGTCCTTCGCAAACCCTCCAGGTCCATAGATTCTAGGATCAGACGCAGCCTTTCTGGATCCTGGCCACCCTTTTCGGCAGCCTCCCCCACAGTCAGGCTCAAAAGAGAAGGGGGCGTCTCTGCAGGAACTTCCTTTAGCCCAGCGGGGTCTCCCGAGGGGGACCGTTTCGACCGGTGTCTGCAAAGGCTGGATTTCAGATCCAAAAGGACTTGGCAGGCCTTGAGCGCCACCGGCCTGTCGCAATCCTGAAGGGCTCTGAAAAGGAAGCCGAACATTCCCATCTGGCCGAAGAGCCGCAGGACGTCGGGGAGAGACGCGGGCGGCTTGGCAAGGAAAGAAGCAGCCGAAGTCGAGCTCTCCCCGAGCCCCAGCGGCTCAAACATCTGGGCGATGAAAAGGCCCACCAGCTCCAGAGCGTTCATTCTGACTTCCCAGTCTAGGTCTCCATCCACGGCTTGAAGAGCTCGAGAAACAAGGTCAGCGGGGGCTGCCGAGGCCTCGGGGTGTCCTTCCTTCAGCCAGTCCAGGAAGACCCCGATGACCGCTCGGCGAGGGAAGCCCTCGGAGTCCGAAGACAAGATGTCCAGCAAGCGAGCGCTGCCGACGCAGACCTGGAGGACGAGAGGAGAGAGAGAATCTCAGCTGCTCTATGTGTAGAGAGGGGGTTTGGAGCCCCGAGTTGCACACAGGTATTGTACCTCTTTGGCACTCTCAGTGCTCTTGAGGACAGGTGCTTCTGGGCCAGAGCGGGCCAGGAGGGAGAAGCGGCCCCAGGTCTTCACGGCGCTGGCTCGGACGTAACTTTCGGGGTCGTCCAGAAGATCTTCCAGAAGCAGGGGCACCCCTGAAGAGAGCAGCTCTTGGCAAAACCAGTCTAGCCCTGTGTAGGGAAATGGCACTCCTAAAATACAGGTAAGTCCTCGACTTACAACAGTTCATTTAGTGACTGTTCAAAGTTACGAAGATTGAACAATATGATTGATGGCCCCTTTTTCCACACTTGCGACGACGGCAGCATCCCCAGGTCACCTGATCAGAAATTCAACCGATTCCTATTTATGATGGTGGCATCATCCCAGGATCCCCTTTTGTGATCCTCGGACACGCAAAGTCAGCGAGGAAGCCAGACTCATTCCACAGCCGTGTGACTAACTACTTAGCCGCTCCATCCCCACCATCAGGAAAACACTCCAGACGTTCTGCTCAAGGTTTCTGGAAGTTCGAAGATGCCTCTGGAGGAAAGACCCATCACGCCCAGCCCTCCGAACGAACAAAATCCGCTGGAGCTTGGTACGGAGGTTTTGTGCCAGTTGACACGGTGGCTGAAAGGCTTCCCCCCCCTCTGTGGGATTCTCGGTGCTGCCCTACCTCTCAAATGCTTCATGGCCAGGCTGAGGAACTCCAGGGATGAATCACGGACTTCCCAGCTCGGACTGCACAGATGTTTTCGTAACACCTGGACCGTATCTTCAAAGAAAAGGAGAGAAAATGGTAGGGTGGAGAACTTGGCCACCCTTCCCGATCCCCGCTGCTCAATTCAGGTCAGACGGGTGAAATGACGCTGGCTTAAAATCTAAACCTTCCCGCTCAAAAAAATTAAATATCTGAACTGGGCGGGGAGAGGGGAGAAAACCCCACCATATCGGGCAGTTCGCATGGATCCGATGCGGAGAGCAGCCTTCCCTAAGCTAGCACTGTCCAGATGTGCTGGTCAGTGTCACCCCCCAAACATCTGCAAGGTTGAGGAAGGCTGGGCTAGCCGAATCCTTTCTGACAAGCGAGCTCAAGCTGATGTAAGTCTCGCCTAAGTCATGCTATTTACACCTCTGAGAAACTGTCGGTGCTGCTGGAGGTCAGCGAGGGAGATGGATGGTTCCAAGGCGCCCAGAAGCCACTTCAAAGTTCCTTGGAGGGCTTTCTTCAAAATCTGGAAGGAAGCAGAAGTATCTTTCTTATTACAATAGGTAATAAGGTAATAAGTAACTGCCTCGTGTTATTGGTAGAAATAATAAAAGCGGGATATAACGAACTATCAAAGGAACTCTGGAAGCTGCTGGGGTCTCCCAGCACGGATGATCTGTCAGTCTGGCTTTTATCCCCATTTCTCCTCTGAATGAAAAGTGGTCCATCTCTCTCTCTCTTTTTTTTAAAAAAACAAATTTTATTGGTTTTTTGATTCTTAGAACAAAGGGCTTAAGACACACCGTGGTGCTGGGGTAATCAAACATCCAGAAATAAAACCATATATGAATAACTCAAATCAATACATTAAATAACCCCCCTCTCTATTTCTCTCAATTAACCTAATACATTTAAGATCATCCATTTCTAATTTAAATTTCTAAAAATCCTAAAACTTGTTTTAGAGCAGTGGTTCTCAACCTTTTTAATGCCGCGACCCCAACTGGTCGTAAGTCGAGGACTAAACCGGTCGTAAGTCGAGGACTACCCAACCGGTAGTAAGTCGAGGACTTTCCCTGCCCGGGAGCGCCGCGCATGCGTGGTTCCGCCCCCTGCGCCGGCCGAGGCGTAGCTGGCAAGCGGCAGAGACGGAGCAGGCCGACCACCAGCTGGCCCAGCCCAAGGGAGGTAAGGCACCCGCCGGAAAAGGGGAAAAAAAATGGCGGACAAAAAAAATGGCCGACAAAAAAAATGGCGGACAGCCTTGCTTGGCGACCCCCGTGAAATGGTCGATCGACCTCAAATGGGGTCCCGACCCACAGGTTGAGAACCACTGTTTTAGAGCTTTGTGAATAAAAGCGGTCCATATCTCTCTCTCTTTTTTTTTTTTTAAACAAATTTTATTGGTTTTTTGATTCTTAGAACAAAGGGCTTAAGACACACCGTGGTGCTGGGGTAATCAAACATCCAGAAATAAAACCATATATGAATAACTCAAATCAATGCATTAAATAACCCCCCTCTCTACTTCCCTCAATTAACCTAATACATTTAAGATCATCCATTTCTAATTTAAATTTCTAAAAATCCTAAAACCTGTTTTAGAGCTTTGTGAATAAAAGCGGTCCATATCTCTTAAGCCACAGTCCTAAGTACACACAAGCCTTCCTTACAGAAGACAAGAGAAACCCCTAGTAAGTAGAATTCTGCACTCACCACAGGGTTGCTCTCTGGACTCCGTAAGTATGTCAGGAGAACGCCAAACGCTCGCAGCCTTTCTTCATCGTGAACTGACGCTAAATAGGGAGAACAAACGTTTGAATCGCCTCTGCTCCTTTTGCGCTTCCCATTCAAGCCTCGTTTGGTTTCATCCTCAGTGCTACTTCTCGGAGTTTATAACTGAAAATATTTGCTCCGTGGGAAGAAAAAGCTTAAGAGCTGCAGCGAACTGACATAAATTCTTCTTATGCTCGATTTGCCCCAAATTATTATTATTATTATTATTATTATTATTATTATTATTATTATTATTATTATTATTATTATTATTATTATTATTATTATTATTATTATTTATTAGACTTATATGCCGCCCTTCTCCCCACAGGACTCAGGGCGGCTCACAGCATATTAAAACCATACAAAACATTATCCCCAATAAAAACCAATTAAAAACAAATATTTGACCGCTGTGTCTTATTAAAATCATTAAAATTGTCCCTATTTAAAAATTCTCCCTAGGTCAGTCCCGCTTGCTGAAAAAGCCATGTCTTGAGGGCGCGGCGGAAAGCTGGGAGATCCGGAATCGTCCGGATCTCGGGGGGTAGTTCGTTCCAGAGGGTGGGGGCACCCACAGAGAAGGCCCTCCCCCTGGGGGTCGCCAGCCGATATTGCTTGGCCGACGGCACCCTGAGGAGACCCACTCTGTGGGAGCGTACCGGTCTGTGGGAGGGAATCTGTGGCAGAAGGCGGTCTCGGAGATAAGTTGCTTTTTGGGAGAAAGAGAGCTTTGGACCCCTTCTGCTTTTTATTCCTATTAATTATCGTCGATGCGTGACTGCATGGGCAGAATAGGATTAAAAAACACACACACACCTTCTGCAAACTGCTCCATTATTTATTTAACTACACCGTACAGAAAAAATATAGACAAAATATCCAACACAGACACAAGCCTACTTACCAGCCCATCGGGAGAGCGCTCCCAGGAGGCTAAGGGCCGCCCTCTGAACACGGAAGCTGCCAATCAAGATGTTGCCTAGTGTAGCTCCACAGGAGGAGGACGGCACAGCCTGGCCAGCGCAAAGCTGTAGTAGGGTCACCACGGAGCATAACAAAGGCTTATGGGGAAACTCCACTGCCAAGCACACCTGGGGGAAGCAACAGCGTGTCCTAAGCTGGTTAATCAGAGCTGTAATTCTGTGGAGCAGGATTTCTCAACCACGGCAACGTGAAGCTCTGTGGACTTCAAATTCCCAGAATTCCACACAGTCAACATTTGGGGATTCCCCAGCCAGCACGCTTAGAAATTTCCAGGCTGGAAAAGGACGAGGGAATCTCTTGGGAAAATCTGAACTTGGCAGAAGCTTATTTTCGCCGTGTTAAGAAACTGAAGAAGCTTCTCGGATGAGCAACGAAACGTTTTCAAGGGGGGGAGGGGGACCCCAAAACGTCCAGTTGCCTTTTGGAAAAAGCAGTTTTAGGACCACCGTGACCTGAATGATGGAGAATCTCCAAAGACGTGTGAAGAAAGCCTGCTCTTTTCTTACCAGCTCTTGGACGTCCTGAAGATGAGCCATCGTCTGACATAGGAGACTGGTAGAGAGGAGAGATTCCACAGAGGAAGCATCTGCAAGGGCCTCGTCCAGCAATCCTGACGCATGGGATGAAACGACAATTTTCAGACCAAAGGCACCTCTGACACAGCTGGATAAACCTCTGCAAACAGGAGACTTTCCAAACATCTAAGCATTGTGGCTGTCCTCAGTCCCCAGATAATCCAAGGGCCTCTTTTCTCCACCCACCCATCCTGTGTAGTGGATATGGGTGTTTACGTGATTATGTTGTACCACTCACTTGGGAAACCTAAGTGAGGAGAAGTAGCTCGCAAGATGTAGTCCATAGGCCGGAGCAAAACAGCCAAGCTCTGGGCTTGGATGGCCTGTGGGCTTGAAGAAGAGAAAAAAGTTGTTTTGCACGCACAAGGTTAGAGCTTTCCGTTGGTTTGACGTCTGTTAAAAGTTTGCTTCGTAAATCAAAATCCCTTCGACGTAAAATCGCACACGAGCATGCATGCATGCATGCATGCATACAGACCGCATGCTTCAAATGATTACGTTATTTTGGTTTCACGTGCTGCCTCCTGCAAATTCTACCGTCTTTAGAACTATCGAAAGGACGTTAAAAACCTCACAATGGAGGAAAGTGGAAGAGTCGAGAGCGGAAAGGGGTTTTATGACTTGAGTTCGTACATCACCCTAAGCCACGTTTTTGCAATAAGCCAGGACTGACTGGGCTCTCACCTTATTGAACACTTGACTGGCAAGCCCAATTTCCCCCCAGTAGGACCGCAATCCCAGACTTTGATCAGGCATGAAAAAGGGTTTAAGAAAAGGGGGAATTGGAATCTGCAGCTAAACAAATCAAGCAAAATACTTAGCAAACCCCTCTAGGTGGCTCATTCATCACTGAATATTAAATATTGGGGATTCTGGGCTTTGAAGTCCACATCTCTTAAAAGCTGCCAACTGCACTAGATCACGGCCTCCTTTTTAGAGCCTACCATGCCTCAAGCTTCAAAAGTCCATGTGCCAAAGAGCCGACCTGAGCCAGGCCGATATTCTTCAGGGCAAGGGCCACCAGCTTCCAAAGGCTGCATTCGTGACAGCTAAATGCAGGAGACCTATTGAAGGAAGAACGACCGGTTGAAGAGCTGTCTCTTTAAGCATCTGCGAGACTTAAGGCACCCACTTCATCCCTTTCTCCCCCAAATGCAACGAAGGGCTCAAATCTTTGACTACCCCCAGAGCCCCCATTTTTTTGTACTGAGCACCAATAATTGCAACACAAGACCCAGCAATGCAAGATCATCCGTGACGGACAAGAACAAGGCAAGAAGCCTCCATGCAAGCAGTAGCCCGCCATCTTAACCAATTCAGATCTCTTAAGGAATAACGTATGGATTGTAAACTAATAGGTTTGAGGGGGTCACGTAGGTTGAGGAAAGGGGGTCAACCTATGTTCCAGAGTACAAGAAGCAACGGATGAAAACTCATCAAGGAGGGAAGCAACCTAGAACTAAGGAGAAATTTCCTGACCGAACAATTAACCAGTGGAACAACCTGCCTCCAGAAGCTGTGGGTTCTCCAACACGGGAAGTTTTTAAGAAGAGATTGTCTGAAATGGTATAGGGTTTCCTGCCTGAGCAGGGGTGTGTGGACTAGATGGCCTCCAAGGTCCCTTCCAACTCTGTATTTTGTTAGTTGAAACAGAGGACCTGATGTGCAAGAACCCTACATACAAAGCACTGTCCCACCGTCTTCACCAATTCAGAGTTCTTAAATAATAACACATGGACCATCTCTTACCTCGCCACGCTAAGGAATAAATCAGCCAGCAAGGGTCCTGCTTGGACTGGCTCTTCCACGAGGAGCGCTTCAACCCTTTCTGCTACGCGTGACCACAAGATTTCGGTCCAGGCATCCTGGTTGTGTTCAAATAAGGTCATTAACAGCTTCAGGGAATGCTTGATCCGGGACGGAGAGCGGGACTTGAGAGCCTCCTCAACGCGGGCGACCATCATCCGGGCGCAGGCCGGCCAATCGCTGTCCTTTGGACTGAGAAGACGAGACGGTTCGGACTCTACGGAGAAAATGAGCAGGCGGGCCAGGAGCCGGTTGGCTCCCGCAGCGATGAAGAGGCTGGGGTCTCCTTGAAGAGTGAAGATCACATCCAGAGCTCCTGTTGACAACCAGGGAGATGCTGACAATTTCGGGAGAAAGAAAACGGCTATTTCGTTTTGGGGATGAATACAAGCAGGATGCTTTGACTTAGCACTGAAAACAACATTTTATTTATTTGGACTTTGGTTAAATGGCATAGGAGAGTCGAGCTGGTCAATCTGATCTTAGAAGAGGATGAAAAGTCTGCACTTGCCAGAGTTGCAGAGGAACTGGAAGGCGCTGTAATGTTGCAGCATGACGAAGGCTCCTTGCACCCAGCCGCTCCGAATGGTCATGTTTTCCCAGAGTGGGCTGCCCAGGGGTCCTGCTTCTCCAAAGGCTCCAAACACCACCTCCTGTTGCTGACTCGAGAGAAAGAAAGAAAGAATGAATGGAGGAAGGAAGGAAATGAGAGGAAGGGAAAGAAAGACAGAAAGAAAGAAAGAATAAAGGAAGGAAATGAGAGGAAGGAAGAAAAAGAAAGAGGAAGGAAGGAAGGAAGGAAGGAAGGAAGGAAGGAAAAAAAGAAGGGTTGCATTGCTGGATCAATCTGTTGCTGCTCTGAAGGATGCTTCACGGCCATGGAACTACTAAAATAACGGCTGAGAAATTCTGACCCATCCATCTGGGCTCTGCTGTAAACATTCAAATTGTGGTTGTTGTTTTTTCCAGATTAAACTAAATCTAGAGGAGTTTTTTTTTAAAATGCAGAAGAAAGGAAAGAATTGTATGATTCCCCTTCCCCTGCTTAGTAAGTACGGCTGCATTTGAATTGCTTCCGGCGTGTCTGACAAACCTGCAAACGCTGGAAGCTGCTTTCAGAAGCCGCAAGGATCCCCGTGAGCCTCAGGACAAATGCCAGAAGAACGGGGTTTGGTTCCCCTTGTCTGAGCACCGCAAGGATGAACTCGATCAGACACGGGTTCTCTTTTAACACCAGCAAACTAGGCCCTGGGGGAGGAAAAAAAGAATACAGGCAGTCCTCAATTTATGACCAGTCCAAGTTATCATGGACCTTCCCCGGAACTACTTACGACCCAGTTTCACAAGTCCGACATACACACTGCTTTGATGGGATTGCATTTTGCATGCTTGGTATAACCGGCCTGCATCTACATAACCCAGTTATGTGGCCACAAAAAAAAGAACAAATCCAAACTTTATCATCTCAAGCAAGCCAAGGCGATGTCAACTACTAGGCGGGGTCCTCACGACGTCTGTCCCAATCTCTGCAATGTCACCATGACTGCTAGCATCCCAGGGTGGGTTTCCACGGAAGAGCCCCCCACCCCACCTTCCCCAATGCAACGCTAACTACCAACTCACCAGCGCTGGCCAGAGCCTTGAACCAGTCCAGCAGCTTTTCCAGACAAGTGTCGTCCGCCACGGGATGCCAGGGGTCGGCCAGAACGGCGCAAACGGAAGGCAAAAGCTGGGAGCATTTTGCATCCATGGGGGAGAGCAAGCAGCCTCGGGGGGAGAGGAGGGGGTTGTTCTTGCAAAAGCAAGCCAAAGCCGCAGAAATTTAGAATTAAATTTGAAACTAAAGTTCCCCCTGCAAGCTACGTTCACACCCCTTTTTTAGCGGAGACACGCGTCTGAATGCCACCATCATCTGAATGCCATCTCGCGCGGGGAATTGCATCGGTCGGCCCCTTTGCAAGCAGCGTTGCTTGGGAAGGGGCAGGAAGAGTCGATCCCGGTCCCAATACGGGGTTCCTATGGGGGCGCCCCCCCCCACTCCCCCAGGACTTCCGAAGGGAGGCAGGGGAGAGAGCCTCCTGCAATGGCCCGGCGGCCGCGGGTGCAATCACGGGCAGGATCCGCTTGCAAGGAAACCGAGCGCTGCAAGAAAGCAGACTTTGCAAACCCGTGTCTTGCAAACTCTAGGGTCTCGTCTTCTCTGCGCAGGCGCGGGCGCGTTCCCTGCTCTCCTGACCCGGGCATGCGCAAAAGGGCAAGGGAGGCCTGGCTCCTCCCGGACGGCGCCAGGACTTCGCTTTCCTCCTGCCTTCTAGATACACATTTGGCTCCGATCCCCATCGTCCACAGCGGAGGCAGCCGCGAGTCATGGGAGCGGTCGGCCCGGGGCTTCTAAGAGGGCTCAGACCGGGCCAAGAAGCCGCGGCCTTCCCAAGCAAACGAGAAGCGCTGCTGCGCAGGCGTAGCCACGCGCGCGCGCGCGTCCATCCGGGTCCTCCCCTCGCAGTTGCCGGGGCGGTTGCCATGGAGCCTGGCCGGAAGTTGGGAGGCGGGCCCTGCGCGGGGCGATTGTGGAGGGGCCGCCGCGCCTGAGACCCCCGTCGCTTCGCCGGCATGTCGCGGAGCCCCAGCGAGGCCGCCGCGGAGCGGGAGTCGGTGAGGGCCGGAGGGAGACGAGGCGTCCCGGCCGCCCGCCCGCCCGTCCGTCTCGCCTCCCGGGGACTGCAGCTCCCATCATCCCCAGCCAGCCGCCAGGGGTTGGGGGGCTGGGGGCGGAGAACCGGGAGAGCTTGTTCGTCGGGAAGGGCCGGCAGGACGACCCGAAGCATTAATAGGGGAGGGTTTCTCCCCCTCCAAAGCGGGGGAACAGGGAGAGTCAACGTGAACCCTGCCCGTTCACACGTTACGGGGCTGCCCAGGCAGGGTCCTGAACTCCGGGGCTGCACCGGCCTCTGGGACTCGGGAAAGCGGGGTGGAAATCCCGTGCAGCAATGCCTTCTTCCTCCTTTGCTTCTCCTGAGGCTTCGTATCGGGAGTCCCATGTTCCACTGCGCTCAGCTGGGCTGCTGGTTGGGGAAGGCTTTCCCACGGAGGCCCCTATCCGCACTGAGAGGGCAGGCCAGGAGAGGGGTTGGCTCTCGGCTTAGATACGAGGGGTTTTCTATAAAGAGAGAGCCAACCCCACTCCTGATGATGTTCCCTAGTTGGGTAATGAAACGTCTGCAAGAAAATTACCCAGTTCAGAAAGAAACTAAAGATCCTACAGCTCTCCTCCTCCACCACCATCACCAGCACTCCTCCGCAAATCCCTCTCCCTTCTAGCAAGTAGGATGTTACCTATTTGGGTAATGAAATGTCTGCAAGAAAACCAAGTTCAGGGCACCAAGGACCCCACAGTTGTTGTTCTCCTCCTCCTCCTCTCTGCAAATCCACTCCTTTCTAGCATTGATGATATTATCTAGTTGGGTAAAGAAATGTCTGCAAGAAAGCAACCAACCTCAGAGAGTACCAAGGACAACCCCCACAGTTTAACATTGAGCTACATCTATCTATCTATCTATCTATCTATCTATCATCTATCTATCTATCATCTCTACATTAATACTGCTAGACCAACAATCCAGGAAGTAAACAGCCCGACCAAAGAACCCTCCCACCAACACTGACAGAGCAAGCCCCTAGCCTAGTATATAAACAGGGAGCAAATCCCCCTCCTTTCTAGCACGGATGATGTTCCCTAGTTGGGTCATGAAACTTCTGCAAGAAAACCACCAAGCTCGGAGAGCATCAAGGAACCCATAAATTAGATGTTTTATAGCTGTTTGTTCCAGACAGTAACCTGCATTCTGTCACAGGCCTCTTGATGATGGATGGATGGATAGTTATTATTTTTCTGAGTTTCCTGAGTAATTTAGATTGGTCATATTCCAGCCATCTCAGGCTAAAGGTTCTGGGATAAGAGGGTAAGAAAGCCTCAGAGAAGCAGCTTTCTGTCAGAGTTGATCATATTGATGACCCACTGCTCCATATCACTGAATGCTAACCTCATAAACAAAAAGGTTTAGATACATCATATTTTATAACAATTATGTCTTTACAGGCTGAAGATAATTCTCCTGCCCTGACCTACGATTCTGATGCAGAAACAGTAAGTTGGGCTAGATATCTTTCAATTCTCTTGTTTTCTATAAATTGATCGTGGATGGATCCAGATGCTGATCAAACTGTAATAATGTGATTTGTGCTTCATGTTAATCCAAAATAAACTGGCAAACAAACTGGAGCCTATCTATGACACTCAAGCTATACAAATAAAGTTTTGCAGTCAATTTGTACAGCTGTTTGCTTTCAGATTTTAAACTCTTCTGGGTATTTTTTTTCTTTTGTCTTTTTAAACACTGGAATTGATGTGGCCTTAAAAACACTGGGGGCTCTCGTGGCCATCGGATTCTGATAAATCTGTAATTGCAAGAGAGTTCTGCTCACAAAATGGAGCACCAACGGGGAATTCACCAAGAAAAATTCCCCAGCAACAAATTACAACACAAAGTCTTTTTTGTTTCGTTTCGTTTTACAGACACTGAAGAACAAAATGTCTCGCAGGCCTGCAAAATCAAGTAAGTGTCACATCCCCGCTTTGGCTGACATGGTGTCCTTTCTTTGAGACAAACTAATCTTAAAAATCGGCCAGTTTTCGTGGTAATAGCTCATTTTATGGAAAGGGATCAAGAGAGAAAACTCACTGCCCTGATGCATTCTTCTAAAACCTTGAAGCTTTTACCCAGCTCTTGTAAAACACGTCGCATTTTTTCCTACCTGATTAAGAAAAACCTCCTCGGTCACGTGTCATGCAGCCCTTTTTATGTATACATGCACACGGTTGTGAATTATTTTTTCCTTTTTTTGAGAGCCTAAAGAGCCCACTCCTCTTGTAACAAAATGATAACGTTAGTATCTTGCTTGCTTTTTAAAACTTTTAATCTTGGGTTTTTTTGTTTTACCTTCCTGCAGGGTCTCCATATACCTCTCACACCTGCCTCCATTCTAAAAGGAGTGGATTTCTGCGGACTTTGAAAAGCTCAGAGAGCAGACACTTTGAGAGCCCCTTAGTGAAAGCCTCAAGGCAATATTGGCGTGGATCTCTGAAGCCAGGTGTGAAAACGGATCCTTCTTTACCAGAGAATTCCGGAAACTGGCAGAATTGGGATTAAAATCCAGATTAAAAGCTCTGGTTAATGTGTAGCCAGGAGCTGAATTTGGCTGGATGGGATTGTCTTCCCTTAAGAGCTGTGGTGGCACAATGGTTAGAAGGCAGCTTTGCAGGCTGACTCTGCAATCCCACTGCCAGCTCAAGGTTGACTCAGCCTTCCATCCTTCCGAGGTCGGTAAAATGAGGACCCAGATTGTTGGGGACAAATAGGCTGACTCTGTAGACTGCTTAGAGAGGGGCTGTAAACACTATGGAGCAGTATAGAAGTCTAAGTGCTGTTGTTATTGCTATCATTCTTGGTATCTCTGTCAGACCTGCCATCACTTGTCTGCAATTGTATTGCGAAGCAAAACACAAAGCGTATTGTGAGCAAGCATAGCCAGAACTGAGAACCGGGGGCCAAAAATCCCTAGGTTCAACTTTTCCCTCCCTTGGTTCCCTCCCATTGCCCACTCCTACGAGACCAGTCAGTTCAGGCAGGATGTTTTTGTAATGGTCAGTTCAAGGGCAGAATGGTATGCAGCTGATATGACCTTGAAGCAGCTTCTCAAGGAGATACAGCATTTGCTTTCGTTTTCCCCCTTACCTTTCCACCTCCCTCCAGTTCAGGGGATCTGGTAGCAAAGCCCAAGCAAGCGTTGACCACCCCATTCCCCTCTTCTGTAGGTACCTGGATGAGTCACTCCAAGTCCGATATTGGCATCAGAACTGCTTTCTCCCCTCTTCCTGGAAGCACACCTGAGTACCTCAAGGAAGCTTTGGGGATGAAGAAACCGAAACACGCTCGCTCTGCCAGCCGTGGTGAGTTTGGAGGCATGGAATTCTGCCTCTTAGCTAGCACCAACACCAATTTCAGATTTTTTTTAGTCTGTAATGCAGGGGTCCTCAACCTTGGCAACTTGAAGACTTGTGGACTTCAACTCCCAGAATTCCTCAGCCAGCTTTGCTTGAAGTCCACAAGTCTTAAAAGTTGCCACGGTTGAGGACCCCTGCAGTGTAATGGATTCCAGCCGCTTTAGAAGAAGCGACGTACAAGACTTTGAAACAGATAGAATGATATGGTCTTAAAATATTGTATCCCTGCCGTTTCTTTTCCAGGCTACATCCCTGGAACTCCAGACTACAAGGAGAAGGAGGATATGTATGACGAGATCATTGAACTAAAGAAGGTTAGAACAAGCGTTTATATCTCTTTTTTATCCGTGGAATGAACAGAACAGAATTTTAGTTCGTTGACGCTTTGTCTTCTTGTTTTCTGGGAAATGTTTAAAAGTAACCGGGCGGGATGGGATCTGCTGAGGATCTAAAGTTGTCCTAGATAAGATTCCTGGGAAGGAAAAAGAGACGGGATTCTCTGATGCCACCACGTCAGATACATTTTCTCCTATACTCTTTTTTTTTCTGCTTACCGTCTCCTTGCTCAAGGATTCTGAAAAGTTGTTTCCCCCCCCCCTTTCCGTGGTAGACAATCCAAGCTCAGAAGTGCGAAGCGGATCGGATGAAAACCAAACTCCGGCGGGTGGAAGAAGACAATAACCGGAAGGACAAACAAATTGAGCAGCTTTTGGACCCCTTCCGGGTAAAGCCGAGGGTCTCTTTCCGATGGCCCCCGCAGCTCTTTCGTCTTCTGACTGAGGAGGGGGTGAATCTGGCAGGGCTAGCCTTGATTCAGCAAACCCCCAAACACATTCTCCAGTTCCCTAATCAGGAATGCTCAATGCTGTGTGGGTTTTTTGTTTTTTTTGCAGTATTCTGAATTTAGCTGGTTACGGACAGAACAGAAAAGCGAGAGCAGCTTGGTAAATGCACTTTTTTTTTGCCCTGTCCCTTCTGTTCGCCATTTATAGCTTTCCAGAAACATACAATAAAGAGGCAACCCTTTTTATTTTTCTCTTGGAATAGATGATAAATGGTTTGAAGCAGAAGATTCTCAGGCTAGAACAGCAGTGCAAGGAGAAAGACAACACCATTAAGTACGGAGAAACTGTCAAATATTTTCCCCTGCCTCTTCCTTCTTGCAGAAGACCTAAGTTTTCTAACAACAAATTGCCTGTGGGACTGCTGGCCACAGGTTTCTCCTTTGCTCGTGAAAGCATATCGCAGGCTGGGAGGGCAGAGTAGGGAAATCATAAATGGGTTCTGTTTGTTTATTTTGACTTATACCATCTCCCACCTGTCAGGATCTGAAAGTGGAATATAGTCATCACTTAATATTGATGGCGGTTCATCCGTGTAGTTAAGAAATATGTAGGTTTAACCTCTGTCTCTTTGGACTGTGCCAATCCTCCTCCTTCTGTGTCTCTTTCCCCCAAAGTCAACTCCAGGCAGATGTGAAGAATACTGACCTGGAAGAAATGACCATCGCTCTGCGTACTTCCTACCAAGAGGTATGAAAAAATGGTTTGAAAGGGAGAGACATCATTAAAAACATCCGGTGAAATGTTGCTTGTTGCCGTTCTGTGGGCTGTAAGGCTCTGTCTATGCTCATGAGCTCCCCTAGAAAACGGGGGGGTACCAATAACCCTGACTTCTTTCCTACCACCTAGCTAGGCAGAGATCGCTTTATTCCACATGTGGTTGATCGTAGAAGATTTTATCCAGAATGGTATAGGGCAGGGATGTCAAACTGCCGACCCGCGGGTTGGACGCGTCACATGGAAGCCGCGCCCACCCCATTGCTGGCAATGGCAAAACCGGCCCGATACGTTGCGCGACGTCACGTGACATCGCGAGTTTGACATGGCTGGTGTAGGATCTCCCACCTTGAGCTGGGGGTTGGACTAGAAGACCTCCAAGGTCCCTTCCAACTCAGTTATTCTGCTATTAACCTAACTGATACTGCAGTGGTACTCGGAGGCGCCAGTGTGAGCAACGAATGTATCCTCTGGACCCTAATTTGCCCCACTGGATTCTGCAAAGTGGAGCTTGTTCCCAGAAAGGCACAAAGCCACTGATCTCTAAAACCTCTTTTTACAACTGCTAAGAGCCCTTGTTACGTCTTTGGGATCATGTGATACTGTCACTTTGGTCATCCCAATGTTCTCTGGGGTCTTGTCTCTGTGGGTTCCTCTGATGCATTTTCGTAAGAGGAGAACCATGTTTCCTCACGACCGTCTATCGTCGCCCAAACCTAGAAGGATTTGCCTTTGAATTAAATTAATTAGTTGGAAACAAGAGCTACCAGACTTCTCCCGGTGCCGTTTTGCGTCTTTATGAAACAGCTTCCTTTGGTGGTCCTCTCTAGGTTGGATAATATTCTCTCCCCCTTTGCAGATCCGGCGCCTCCAGAACCTGCTGACACACTCAAAAGTTGTGCAACGAAAGTACGTTAATTACTTTGGGGCTTTCTGCATGTGCTTAACTTTTTGGTGGCTAGTTTCTATTCTTCACTAGTCGCTGTGCAGGAAGTGAAATTTAAACTTTTTTTAAAAAAAGGCTACGTGTCATTCTCTTTGTTTAGCTTGGTTAGCAGACTCTGTTCCATTAACATACACCTTAATATTTGGTAAACATCGTGTTGTCTGGGTTAGTGTTTAAAAAACAATAACAATTAATTTCTATCATTCTGTAATCCATATAATAACTTTACTCGATTGCCTTTTCTTCCCATAGTATTCTCTTTAGCCAACCTTAAATTAATACAGTTCTCATTTAAACAGATGACAATTAAATCTAAACATTTTTCTCGTGTTTCTGCAAATAATGACCACATCAGTATAAAGCTCCTTTCCATTAATCATCTTGATTGCCTCCTCGTAAATCCTGTTTACATTCTTATTTAAATTTGTCTTCCCCACAATATTCAAAACATTCTTACTGGCTAAGATTGTCTCAAAATTAGTTACACTTAGGTACTTAAATCTTTTTTCACGTTGACGCAAAAGGCCTCAGGGATGATTGCCAGCACCCACAGTCCCAATGCCAGCCGTGGGAAGGGTTAACGTTGAGCAAGTTTTCACAGTTAAAAATAAAAGTTCTTTTTCTTCCTAAATCCCAGCTGAGGTTGGTTAATGGATTGTGGGAAGAAGTCCCAATGGAGATGTTTTCTCGTGGGCTTCTGGTTGCTAAAAAAAAAAAAAAAAAAAAGACTGCATACTAAAAGTTGCCCGGTTTCTATAAGATTGGATGAAAGATTCAGAGGAGGAAGAAACAGAAAGAAGAAGATAGGAAAGAGTTTATGCAATCCAAGGACGATTGGCGGATTGTGGCGCTCAAGGTAGTTTCGTGGAAATGTAGAGTAAGACTTAATTTCATCTTGTTCCCCGAATGTCACTTCCCCCCTCGCCCCCCACAAGATAGTGAAATGAATAGAAGGGGGGGGAAGGGCCAGATTGCAGTTTTGCACGTCCAACTCCTGACCTGGGACCCTGTTTTGTACTGAACTACATTTGGCTTCATTCACACGTTGCCTAAAACAGAAATAAACAAGGCCCGTTATTCCTTAGTCTCACATGTGGCCACAGGCAATTCTAAATATTCTTTAGAATTCTGATGCTAAATATTAGTTCAGAAAATAGTAAACAGCAGAATGGGGGTTGAACTTCCTAAGTACCAATGCATTTATTTCCTTTTTCCTTTCCTTTCCTTCCCTTCCCTTCCCTTCCCTTCCCTTCTTCATACTTCGGTGGCATTCCACAATTTATTAAGATGTCTGCTATTACATAGTGTCCCCAATGAGCCGTGCAAAATCCAGGCATTGTCCCAAGGAGCAAAATTTAGAATTTTATCTAAAATTTAACCCAGGAGGAAAATGTAAAGTACAGTAAACCAGGGGAAGCGTCATGATTTCAAACGAAAGTTGCCCTCTTGATTTCAGGGGAGGGAGACCAAAATTAAGGCAGGTTTGTCTTTACTCGATCATCAGAAAGCTTAGAAATGTCACTCTTTTCACCAGGCAGGCAGTCAGACTTGGGGGTAAAGGAGGGAGCAAGACACTGGCACATTTTATATTGCTATGGCAGCTGATCTTCTCTTTTTTGAGTCTAGGGCTTCTGAGAGCCGGCGTCAGAAAGTGCTCAGCACGGCCGTCTTCCAGCTCTCCGAAAGGATGAAGGAGCTGCAGGACCAGAACGAAAGGCTGAAAGCAGATATGGACCACGCTCTGAGCTGCTTCCTGTCTCCCAGCCAGGCCAAAAGTAAGCATCCTGATTGCTCTAGCACAGTGGTTCTCAACCTTTTTAATGCCGCGACCCCAACCGGTCGTAAGTTGAGGACTAAACCGGTCGTAAGTCGAGGACTAAACCGGTCGTAAGTCGAGGACTACCCAACCGGTCGTAAGTCGAGGACTTTCCCTGCCCGGGAGCGCCGCATATGCGTGGTTCCGCCCCCTGCGCCGGCCGAGGCGTAGCTGGCAAGCGGCAGAGACGGAGCAGGCCGACCACCAGCTGGCCCAGCCGAAGGGAGGTAAGGCACCTGCCGGAAAAGGGGGAAAAAATGGCGGACAAAAAAAATGGTGGACAGCCTTGCTTGGCGACCCCCATGAAATGGTCGATCGACCCCAAATGGGGTCCCGACCCACAGGTTGAGAACCACTGCTCTAGCAATTCTCCAAAACGGTGTTTCTCAACCCTTTAAGGTGGGCGGACTTCAGCTCTGCTGGCTGGGGAATTCTGGGTTATTGAAGTCCACCCACCTTAAGTCCACCTCGTGGCCATCAGAGGCAACTGGAGAGATGGTCAAACTCTAGCAAGGGAATATGCACTTCTAGCTTTTGCAGTCTGCCCCCCTCTGGTGGCCCTTGGGGCTCAGTCCTTTGTGTCTCCCCCATTTTGACAACTGTATTCTTTTTCCTCAGATTATGTTGCTCGCCAGAGGCAGAAACTGCTCCAATGGATTTCTGACGGGGAAAAAGTAAGTGAGAATTATTCCTGAGCAGTTATTCCTGCTAACCATGTTAAGTGAGCCACTTGCACAAGCCTCGATGGAGAATCAAGAGGTCCGGGACTTAACTTTCTTAAAAACAGCATGATATCAGTCAGTGAGCGATGATGGTTTCAGGGTCCGTTGCCATCTTTTGCCAGATGGCCTGGCTCGTGGCTTGCCTGTGAATTACCGACAAAGGTTGGAAGCTGCTCATCAGGATTGGCCTTTGGGGCACCCCAAAGGAGAAATTTCATGCTGTTTCCACCACCAGCTTGTTCCTAACTCCAGGAAGGGGTCAAACTTAAGAGGAGAAGCTAGTAAAGGTTCTGCTAGTTTTTCTTTTGCAATCTGCCCCCTTCGCCGATCTGGACTACATCCCCCAGCATCCAGAAGGCCAGGTGAAAGCTCTGAAAGACCCCCATATTGTGGAAGGCAGCTTAGATCCTTTTTTTCCCCACCTGAACTGCTTCCCATTAAAGCACGTTTTATTTTTCTTTTGCTTCTAGCTCAATAAATAAGTGCAGAAGGAGGTAACTTGCAAGAAAAAAAAATACTCCAGGTGATTAGTGTTTCTCTTTTTTTTCCCCCTTCTTCCAGGAAATGGAAGAGGGGCTGCGGCCTTCAGAGACCAGCAGGGGGCTGTTGCTCCCTCCCACCGCTTCTGAAGAAGTGGATCACTCAGTTGCTAAGGAATCTGATCTCCCAGAAGAGCGTGAGACGGCAGTGGGGCTGAGAGACCATATTCTCGTCCTTCAGAATCAGCTGGCGGTTAAAGAGTTAAGTTCCTGGGGATCAGCCAACATAGCCCAACTCCCCTTTATTGCAGATTTGGGGGAGAAACCGTCCAGCTTTTCTCTCCCCTCCCAGCCCCCCCCCCCACTCCTCTTTCCACCAGTCAAAAGTGAACACAACGCTGTACAACAAACAATCCGCCTGGTCCTTCTGCAGGGTGGAAATCCAGCAGCTGAAAGAGAAGTTGAGAGAACTGGAAGGAAACCAGGAAACCGACTGCAGACAGGCTAGAATTGATGTGACACAACCTCCCGATCAGGTAAAAAACAAAACAAGATCCTCTTCCAACCGTTTAATTTGCGTGGTGAGCTGTGTTGTCTAATACTGACAGATTTGGCTTCTGTCGAAAAGCCCCAGAAGATTTGGGCTCTGTCTGGCTGTGAATCTTAATAGTTTCTTGGACGGTTTCCCTCCGAAGACCTTCCTGCAGCCAAGGATTGAGTTTTACATTTCTGCAGTGTCAAAGAGGCGAGAAACTTCGATATTCTCCTGGTGGCGAATGAGGTATGGCCTCCTGGCAATTAAGGCAGGGTCAGCGAGAAACGTGGCGTTATGGGAGATCCAGGATGGCCAAAGATGTTATTGTCAGGATCTTGGCCGTTGATATTTCTGGTCCTCCTCTCCTTTTGTGAATGGCAAGAGGCCTCTTAAATGCTGCAGCAAAACTCCACAGTCTCTGAACTGAGTCTTCCTATCTGTTTCTCTCCCCTCTTCTCTCTTTCTTAATCCAGTGTCACTCTAGTTCTGTCAGTCATGAAAGAGCAGGTCCACACGTGAGGGTCCAATTTAACTGATTTATTGTCATTCCTGCCCGGGCACAAGAATCTTCTCAGCTCACAGTTAGGACCAGCTAGGCGTTAGAGAAGGGTCAATGGAATTCAAGGAAGGTTGGACTTAGTTGTTTGTGGCTACGTAAGGATTCTAGGCTGATCCCTCTTTTAACTCCACCGCCAGGTTCTGTTACTCCTACAAATCCAGCGTTTCTCAACCTTAGCGACTTTAATCTATGTGGACTTCAGCTCCCAGAATTCCTGACCTGTGCAGTCATCACTTAACGACAATAAATCGGGACTGTCAGAATGGCTTTGGCTAAGTGCCACGGTCATGTGGTGTGCTTTACAACCGCATCACTTTCTGATGCAACTCTGGTCCCATTTATCGTCATTAACCGAGAACTATCTGTAGACCCAGTTCCTGAATAGCTGCATTTTTGGGTTACACAATGACTTTTTCAAAACGCCAGTTCTGCTGCATCAGTTGTGTCTCTAAGGAATGTTTACAACTGAGTACAGAAGCATCCTAGCTTCCTTCATTCCGTTCAAATCCAGATTCCTGCTTGTTCTAGGCTCCAGATTCCTCTTCCGGGCTGTGCCCTGTGTCTAGAGTTGGTGGTGGTCGCAAAGCAGGGAGGGGAGAGGAGGAAGAAGAGGAAGAGAAGGCAGCAGCCCTGGGACTCATTCGGCCCACATTCGGGGCTCACGTCGCACAAGCATCCCTTGAGGAATGGTAGGTAGGAAACAGATGGCTTTAATGTGGCCTTCATAAGCTGAGTGGTCCAGCAACCCAGACATAGCTTGTCCTTGAGGCTGTTTAGTGAGGTCAAAGGAAGAAAGGAGAACACCCCCTGCCGAGGGCCCACTCAAACAATCAGAAATCTTATCATCCTCTAGATCAGGGGTATCCAACCTTGGCAGACCTGTGGACTTTACCTCCCCTGCTGGCTGGGGAATTCTGGGATTTGAAGTCCACAGGTCTTAAAGTTTGCTAAGGTTGGACACCCCTGTCTAGACGCAGTTGGTCTGCGCCCCCTAGATACTGGGACGTGGAATCCAAAGCATTTCAGCCAAAAGGCATTCCCCCACCCAACCCCCAGGCTGCGTTGCTCACCGGCTGTCGCAGCCACACATACACACATACACAGCAGCAGCAGCAGCAGCAGGCTCAGCTCTGCAGAACTGAGGCCCAGAGCAATTGCCTGGATTTAGATCAGAGGTGGGGAACTTGGGCCCCTTTATGACTTGTGGACGTCAACTCCCAGAATTCTTGAGCCACCAGGGCTGGCTCAGGAATTCTGGGAGTTGAACTCCACAAGTCATAAAAGGACCCAAGTTCCCCACCCCTGTAGATGCTGCCTACATTGGCATCCCAAGCTGAGCCTGAAGGCCCCACCTCCTTGGTGGAGATTCCTAAGACTCGCCTTTTTCCCAGTGTGAGCGTTCTCCCTGAGCCCAGATATAAGGATTTCAATTGTGATGCATAGAGCAGCAAGTGGATTGACTCTCCTCCTTCTCCACCCCACCCCCCCATC